GACGAAGGTCTGTCGTGAACTGAGAGATATAGTCCAAATGTCTGCACTCTCGTGGTGAGTAGCGGTCAGACTTGGTATGCAGGGCATACGTTAAGGGCTTATGGTCGGTGAATAAAATGAATTGGCGTCCTTCTACTGCGTGCCGGAAATGTTTGATGGAGCAGTAGGCTGCAAGCAGCTCGCGACCAAAAGCGCTATATCTCGTCTCTTTGGGAGTAAGGCGTCGTGAGTAAAATTCAAGCGGTTGCCAACTGCCGGAGATATTCTGTTGCATAACGGCTCCTATAGCGAAATCTGATGCATCAACCGCTATACTAAGCGTGGCTGATGGGTCAGGATGAGCGAGAAGTGTAACTTCAGCGAGAGCCGTTTTGATCTCTGAGAATGCAGTACGTGCGGTATCGTTCAATTCTAATTTGCGTGGATTACCGCGTAGTAAATCGGTTAATGGTCGTAACCGTTCTGCCGCGTGAGGGATGAAACGTCGGTAGAAGTTAACCAAACCGAGAAAAGCCTTCAGTTCCTTGATTGAGGACGGCACGTTGTACTCCTTGATTGCTCGAATTTTGTCCTCGCAAGGCAGAATACCCTCTTGTTTGATGATGTGACCCAGAAATATTATTTCTGATTTACCCAATTCACATTTCTCTGGGTTGACTACTATTCCATTATCCGAAAGACGTTGGAATAATAGCGTAAGGTGTTGATAATGTTCATCTACGTTTGATGATGCGATCAGCAGGTCATCAATATAGACGTGAACAAAATCCAAGTCTCGTACTATGCTATCGATAAACCTTTGGAAAGTTTGAGCAGCATTCCGTAATCCAAATGGCATTCGTAGGAACTCAAACAGACCGAAAGGAGTCGTGATAGCATTTTTTTGATGTCTTCAAGAGCGACTGGGATCTGGTGATATGCTCGTACCAGATCGATTTTAGAAAAGATAGTCGTGCCCTTGAGCGATGTCGTGATGTCGTGTATGTGGGGGATGGGGTAACTATCAAAGCGCGTAACTACGTTTAATGCACGGTAGTCGCCGCATGGTCTCCAACTAACCCCATCCTTTTTGCGCACCATATGTAAAGGAGAGGCCCAAGGACTGTGAGAAGGACGAATAATACCAGCAGATAGTAAATTGTCAAACTCACGTTTAGCGAAGGCGTGGTCTTGCCATGACTGGTGGTCCGCGGATGACTATGTGGTGTACCACACGATTGGTCATCGATGAAATCTCCTCGAGTGGTTTAGTTATTTCGGGGAATTTCTCGAATAAGGCGTGGAATTTATCGTCACGCGAATAAAAAGTGCCGAGGATTCGGTACGCGTACATCGGAGTCTATTATATTAATACTATTCTTATCGTTATCCGTCATGTCAAATATATTATATATTAAAAATTAATATGAAAATATATGACAGACGTGGATAGATAAAACAATAGACTCACCGAATTGCCTTCTTTGGAAGATTTGACCGAGGCGTGTTCCAATATTTGGCTCACCAATTGTAGCGTGGTGTCGAGTTGGGCTTGACTATGAACACCGCTACCAGACTACGTGCCAATAGACCAATAAGATTCCGATAGGCCAAAAATCAGAAGGCAGATGATAGTCAAAGTAGCAATATATTTGTTGGCAATCTCGTGGTATCGAAAGAATACCGAGATCGTGCCAAAGGAGTACAGATGCGATCGGCAAGAAAGGTGCGTGCGTAGTCGAAAACCGCGTAGAAGCAATGGAATACAATGAAAGACCAAAATGGCTGTTATTAGCACAGTTAAACAAACGAGCACAATAAAACAATCACTGGTACAATTGGTTATAATAATAATTGTTTTCATCGAACCAATCGCGTTCTGTTGACAAAAGTAGGTCACTACAATGTTAACAAGCTGGATTTAGTGTACTAATCGATCCGCGACACATCAAATCATTGCTAACAACAAATTATGCACTAACAATCCCTTCAAAACATTTTATTGGATAGCACTTTTATTTATTTCTTCCTTCCCTATGTTTTGTACTGTAACCCTTATTCAGATCTTTTAACCACACTATGTAGTTCAATCTTCTTTATCTGCACATTTTTGTTTGACGTTCCTTAAAGATTTGCCTTTAATTACTTAGTTTTGTCGTTGCGTGCTGTCGGAATATTAAAAATAAGGTTATTTTTGGTTAAAGCCGAGGTAAAAGTATCGCTCCTTATAAGGCTGTTAAACTTTGACTATCTGCTTAGGTTTCTGTAACCCTTGCAAATAGATATACGACCCAATCTTGTTAAGAATATTTTTACTGATTCTCATGTAGCGAACTCTTTTTTGTTAAGTGTACCTTTTGTTGTTGTTTTGTTCTAGAGATATCTTTGACTGCATAGCACAAGCTGTAACGTTTAAGGCACTCCGTACTTTTGATATATGTTATTTTCTTTCTTAAATTAGAACCGTTTGCCTCGAACACAGAGTTTGTGTCTTGATATAATTCAATACGTCTTTCAAAAAAGCTTCGTACCCTGTACATAGAGACATAGTTTGACCTAACCGAATAAACGTCGGTTTGCTAGTTCTATATTCTAAAGGATTGTTGTGATTTTGGTCGTTACGGTGCTCGTTTCCATATTTCATTTTTTTTGTTAGTGAGAAGTTACAGAATGAACTGAGAACGAAGTACAATACAGCTAAGTGTTACCTTCTATTAAACCCGACTAGTGGCATAGGAACCATGTTTTTTAACGCAAACAACAAATTCCAATCGCTGGTGCAATAAAAGTTGTCTGGATATAATGCTAATTATGATTTATAAAGTTGCAATGAAAAATAGCAATATTCATACAGTAGGATCTTTTTTTGAAATTGTTTTTGTAGAAATCACTCCACTTACACTGTTATTCTTCGTGATCCCATCAGATGTGCGTTTTGTTGATTTTTTGATTACATTTAGGATGGTACGTTTTGTAGTTTGTTCCAGTTTTTGCTTTCCTTACATCTTTACTAAATATCCATGCTTTTCTCGAACAAAATCTATGTTACAGCGGTCAATATATTAATTCATTCCTCTATTTGATTGTGTTGCTTGGATTAACTGGAATTGTACATTTTCGGCATGGAGCACTCTTTAAGAAACGAAAACACTCTGTATTATAGTCAAATTATATATTATCTTTCGAACGATCTGTACGTGATCTGTCCCAAGAGGATGGAACAACCTTTACATGCTGTACATGGGAATTTTCTTATATCCTTTATCAATTTATCTGTTCAATATAACTTCGATTTGACCAATAATACGAGAGTTGTTGGTTGAATGACTGGTTGGTAATATCTGTTTAGATAGTAATGTACAGTCAAATTTAAAATGGAATCTTTAACTGTTATTTACTTAATTATCTCGTTTTGGTTTCAACTGGGCCATGGCATATATTTAAACTAATGCATGAAGTTATTCATCGTTACAAACGTACTCAGTTTTGGAGCTATACATATTTCACTTGGTTATTCACGAAAACTCTGAGCTCCCACAACGAATTCTAAACACACTAAACAAGATAATACCCACTACTAGGACTCCAGAAACGGGAATATTACAAAGTTATGAAAGTTTAATACCACTGGAACCTCTCCGACAGCTATTTTGGCTACATCAGAATAAAATACTATCACCACGGACTGTATTAAAGTATTTATAGGCTTCACCTTCTGGGCTTCTTAACTAATCAGAATCATTAACATCACTACACACTATACTCCAAATCATGTCACCTACGAATAAAACTGAAAACTTACAACACCCCAGAAGCTCCTTAACATAGACGGATGACGCTGTAGGACTTGGTATCGTACGTTTCCGTGCACAATTTGCACAATATCCCATTCCGACTATCATGTTTATTATAACTGACTTTTTGGAAGTATACAATCTGCTTTAAGCTTTGCTTTTAGAAGTTAGTATATTTCCGCACAAAGTGCGTGAGATGCTTATCTCTCAGTGTACTATGTAATGTCGTAATCGAACTGCAAAAAACCCTCTTTTGACCAAACTGTGTCACTAACCTTGAAGGAAATTTTTGCTCATCACGAAAAAAGCTTTCAACCGGACCCGCAAACGTCTTATTCAGCTAGTGGTAATATGATATTTTTCCTTTCATCTATTAATTACACGAATAATCTGTGGAGCTTTTAGTGCAGGTAACAAAATCGGATCGTAAATTTCAGTCTTAGCCTACTGGGAATGTTTTTAAATCAATAAATCTTTGCCCATTGGAGCAAAGTTGTCACATATATTCATCGCTCAACAATGCTGTTGTCTATGGCATCTTTATACTCGAGGACTCCAAATCTAGTCAAAGAAGAAATCAGGGATGAAGGTGCGAATATATAGTTGGAAGATTATCGAAATATCGAATCGTATGTGATTGAAGCTGATGCGTAGCGCAGCTTACTTACTGGTAACATGATGCGGATACCAGACCAATCAACTTCAACTACTGTTTGTCCAGTTAAACTAATGAGATGAATGGTAATGTTGAAGACTTACAGAAATTTAATTTTGTGATTTGTTAATCAGCGCAAATGCATGCGTGACTCTAAAGTGACCCCATGGTAATTGAAAAAACTTCGATATACATAACCATCCTTTAGAACCTTAATGAGAAGTCCATGAAAATCAGATGTACAACACAGTAAATTGATTTGTTGATAAATTTCGCAGGTTGAGGTTATCCAGTTCCTGGAATCTTTAAGCAAGCTGATACAGTGCAAGTTATTTTTGTTGAGCATTTAAAGAGGAGAGTTGGCAATATCAACGTATATACAGTAATAAGAAAAATATTTCGTTAAAGTTTTCTGATACGCCTATAACGTCTTTTGATTTTGTACATCCAGACCTTCACTTGAAGTTATCATTGAGTTTTGTCACTAAACACATTACCTTGTTAACCTAATGCTTTTTTATTGTAACCGCTAGCAGTTGAAACTTTTGAACCATTAAGTTTGCGCTATCTTCAATTTAAGTCTTCATAGCGCCAAATACGACGAACAAGGTAAAGTTCTTCATAATTAATGTATTATTGTTAGTGCTTACGTTGATGAAAACCAAATAAGTTATATCTTGAGCTTTGTTGTAAAATATGACTACATAAACAGTTGATGCAGTCATTGTAACGTCCTTTTGTGTGGTGACCAATAACCATCAATGATTAGACTAAGAACCAGTTTGTACTCAATGTATTGAATTAGTATTAAGGTTAGTAATTATTGCCTACTCACGCGTTATCGGTGAGATTCTTGACGAGTTTCACATTTTCTGGACATGGAGCTGTTATGTGTGAATATTAATTATTGCCTTCCTTAAGGGAGCTAATTAGCTCAGAGAGGTATAATGTGGAACAGCTCCTGTATTATGTGACTACTCATCAGTAATTCCAAACAATATTCTAGAGCATTTCCATTCCCCCATAAACTAGGTTTTGTCTCTAAAAGGTTTTTGAAGATCATTCGGGTATATAGCAAGCTGCTACTGGTATAGCTCCAAATGCCCTGGTACTGTCGAGGGTGGGGAGAGTCAGCTCTTCATCTCGAAATGCCTTCACATGGCCGCGCGTATACAGCCACTGCCAAGGAATCCCTACTCCGCCTCGTCGTGGGGTGTTGTTTATGAAGCTGAGAGGACAAAGAGCGAATGTCTGGTTCTTTAACCGGGTTGGTGGACGCAGAGGGTTCACCTAGGGGAATTGGGAAACCGTGATTATGAACCAATGGTGCACATGGGTTTCAGGATCCTGGAGGAACAAACGGAGTATAAACCAACCGTTGGTCACGGGCTATCGTGGGATTGCATCATCTAACGTTGCTCCACTGCCTTGTGGATCAGACCTTTATGCCAGAGGCTCCAGGTGTGGCTCCCTAATAAAATCACCTGCTTCGATCTGGGTACTCTGGTAATATCATAGCCCATATATAAATCGAGTGACTTGTGTGGCTCACGTGTATTCCGTGCCGCTTTGTTCCAACGTTTTTGTGTTCAAATAAATATCAATGTGACAATTAAACACTGATTATCTTCATCCATCTCAGACTTTGACTTTGTTTATCATGTTAGGTAGTATAAAAGTTTGATTCGTGACTTCAATCTTATAGTATCCACCAGTCTCACTAAGGTAGTTAATACTCCCCGTTGTTAATATAATGGTTGTAAGTTGTCATATACTATGATGTTCCGTACCATATTGCCACGTATTTCGCGCAACTTAGTAAGTCGTGAAATTTAAAGTCTTTTGTATCTAGCACTGAACACTTGCGAAGCGGAACACCCAAAGAGAATAGACTTACAAACTCTGGTGAAACCTATATTCAAACTGAATCGCGTAGGGAGATGAACTTTAATCAATGTTCTGTGTTTACTGTTACTGGTCATCCTATCCCTTGCCGTGTTTATATGACGAGGAAAGTTGCGCCGGTACATATGCGCCAGGTCCTACCTTGTTTACTACTATGTGATGAAAAGCACTGGTGCAGTTACTACTTGGTACTTGAAAATTTGAACTAGTTTCCTGTTAGAGCATACGCGAACGACTGTTTTTCACTCAGGTAACAAGTTATAAGCTATACCAACTGAATTGCTGATTGAATATTAAGGACGTGTATTAAATAAAGAAAATCATTTTGGGGATTTGATTTACACAGTTGTTTACTTGCGTCAACTGCATGTGTCCACTCTCCGGTCGTACATATTTTTAATTAATCACGAACGTAGGATGTCCTACCCTGTTATTATTTTTAATGTCTTTAGATTGACTCCCTCATAATATTTAAGAAAATCGATGACATTAGGACTCTATAATCTGTATTACATTCTATCGAATGCAACACGAACACCGGAGAATGTAGTATGATAAGAAGGAATATAAGATATCCCTACATTATAGGGAAGTAGATAATTGAAAAAGAAATCACTGACATCAACCACCTAGAGATTACATTTGTAGTAGATAAATAGATTTAAAGTAACGAGAGCTTTAGCAGTATATCAATGTGATTGATTATTGGTGATTGACTAACGTATTCCCGAAATAGCCCACTAAATTTATATAAAACGGATAGTCTTATTGAAGTTTATTTAACTATGTATTCCATCTAACCATCCTATCAGGATACACTCTACAGTTTCTTTATCCATACAAAGCGTATTCTCAGATTATATTACCAAGGTGTTTTGATGCCACGTTCTATCATTTCTATATATTATCTATAACCACCGTAGTGAACATGAACGCATTTTGAATTTATGAAAATATATTAATATCTCTTCTTATTCCTTCCAGGTTTTCGGGCTGAGTAGCTGCACCATATCAACTCGAATTCGCCCCGTCAACTACTTTCCTACTGACTAGGTGAAAAATAAATAACTGAAAATTACAGTTTCTTAATGGGTGTTACATCATTTCTATAGTCTATCTCAAACAGGCTATGTCAACTCCAATTTCTAGTCTAAACAGTTTATTTTCATTCACATCTCCTGCTGTAAAAAGACTTCTTGGTTGGAAACAAGGAGACGAAGAGGAAAAATGGGCTGAAAAAGCTGTTGATTCACTTGTAAAAAAACTTAAAAAGAAAAAGGGTGCACTTGAAGCTCTAGAGCGAGCTTTGAGTAATCCTGGTGAACCTTCAGAATGTGTTACTATTCCCCGATCCCTCGATGGTCGGCTTCAAGTTTCTCATAGGAAAGGGTTACCCCATGTAATCTACTGTCGAGTATGGAGGTGGCCAGACTTACAAAGCCATCATGAGTTGAAACCTCTTGATTTCTGCCGTTTCCCATTCTCAGCTAAAGAAAATGAAGTTTGTATTAACCCTTATCACTATCAGCGAGTTGAAAGTCCGGGTAAGTATAATTGTTATTGCGATAATTATAGTTTTGTCCTAATATTGCTCTACTATGTTCACTTTGGCTAACACACCTAAAGTAAAGACAAACCATATAGTTAACGGGTTTCTATCCTTAATAAAATCATATAATTTATCGAATCAGCCATTGAGGTTGATGATAAATCATGAAGTACATAAGTAGGTTGTTAGTATCTTAACTATTAACATACATTTTTTCTATTGATGGAGTAATAACCCGTAGATTTTTATTAGCTTTCTACAGCCATCGAAAAATACTTCTTCCGATTTCGTTTTATATTTTTCTCCTGATAATTTATCCTATGGTTTCACACAAAATAGCAGACGCCTTTCAGTTCCCCTATTTTATTAGGGCCTGTATATTTAACTAAGATTTAATGATACGAAAATCGAACTGACTCATCAATTGCTTTAATTCCCATTACCGTATGTACAGTTTTCAGTAACACTGGCTAATATTTGTCATTTTAGTTTTGCCTCCAGTCCTTGTTCCTCGACATAGTGAATACCCTAGTCTTAGCACTGTAACTCCATCACCGGGTTTATCACACTGTGGAAGCAGTGGAATTTCTAGTTCCCGTTCAGCATCTAATCTGGGAATGTTCCCGATGACAGACTCAGCAATGCCTTACAATGTAAATTATCCACACAACTTCAGTCATTCTCCGTCTCTTCCTCCCGGAAACAGTGGAACGTCTACAGACAGCGCAGTTGCTGGACCTATCCATTCACTTAATAGTAAGCATAGTTGTATTTTTATGCTTCTATATCAGTTTATTATTTATAAATTTGCCAACAAATTTGTATGCTTTTGTTTACCGATCACCATAATTATTGAAAAACAACTTTAATTGGTTTCTATGTACTATTCAAACTATTTCGCTTTCATTTTCCTAACCTCGTAGTTTTACCGTTCTTAAATCATGGGCCAGGCTTTTGATATCAGTCTAAGTATTTAGTGCAGTGGTCCCTTTGAATCATCTGTAAAGTTTCATACCTTTAGAACTAAACTTTCGTGAATGTATCTGACGTATTTTCCATATATCAACAGTAACAAAAGTTTGAAATATCGTTTAGTTGAAATATTTGCCTACAAGTCGAAAGTGCTACTCCGTTTCAAAGATATTCATGTTGCAGAACGTCTAATACTACATATCCTAAAACTGTACACACTCGATTGCTTACAAACACATTCTTATATACAGTTTTCTGAGACAACCTAGTCCTAACAATAAATCACATATCATATTAGACTACTTTTTGGCGCATTGTAAGCCAAGGAAGCATGTATTCGTTTGCGCTTTTGAAGGTTTAAACTAAGAAGAATATTAAATCAATACACTTGGATCTGTTTAATATTAAATTTCATACTCTAGCTTTTAAAAAATGCAGTTACTTATTGTGTATACTGTCAACAACCTTTGGTATTAAATAATCGAGTTGGTGATTTGTTTCATCTGTAACATTCAAACAAGAGAAATCACGTACACTGTAGTTTCTGTAATTATTGATTTAGAAAATACTTTGTGGATTTTTGTTGGTCAATGCTTAGTTTGACCATAGGGAGCGAATTCGTCAAAAGTACTGACATCCACTTATCTTTGGAGTCTCATCGGCCCAGCAGTTTGATGGCCAAAAGAGTATCAGCACGTATACAATAAGTTGATTCCGATTTTCGCCAGTGTGAACCACCTCTGAGGTAGGTAAGGCGCTCATATACACATCGAAGTTATTTTTTCATCAAAGACCGGGGATACCGAACAGAAGGCTTCTCTGTACTTCTCTACGGCTATAAAATTGCTTATGAAAGTAAAGTACTTGTTCATAGTGTGGTGCATATATATTTGGTGCTCCCTTGTACCAATATTTATGCGTTTAAATAAATAAACAATAAAATACTTGTTCATAAGTATCTTCATAGTGTAAAGTGGTATTTGATCCTATAATCCAATGACTAAAAGTCTACTTTGTCAATCACTTAGCCATAATTCTGCAAAAGGCTAGTTGAAAGTGGAATGTTTCCATATAGAATTGTTTTACACATATGATTTAGAAAAATTTCGTAATAAATCAATATGAATTATGGTTAAATTCCACTATGTTTCTAATTATGATAAAACCTCATCTTGGTAATATTCTTTCAAACAATTGTTATTTACCATCTTTAACAGGCTCAAATCTTCAGTCCAGTTACCAAACTCAACCCAATCAAGACCCGGCTACCTCTGGACAAAGTTAGTTTTACAAACATTTGTGTTTAAATATTTCAGTCCATTTTTAAAATGTTCAGATATTTATGCAATCTGTTATTAGAACTATGAGTTAAATTTTAAGTTTATTTAAGCATTTAGTAACCCGTCACAACTTCATAATAGTCATTCAAATGCCGCTAAAAGGGATCGTTTCAAGAAAGTAGAGTGTAGCAAACCGTTAATTTATTATGTTTATCTGAGGACTGGAGCACAGCTTATCTAGTTGTGATAATAAAACTAATGACTTAGTTGCTACAATATTTCGTTGATGGGACAAGGTTCGAACCTTGTTCCATTTTAGGTCTGTTAGTCAGTCAGTCACAATGTAAAACCAGTACAACGGTTGAACTTGTCGTACTCAATTAGCACATATAGATAAAGTTGCTAGGCTAAATCTCAGAGTAGTAGAAGTAGTAACAGTATCAGTGGTAGGCGGGATTAAGCATCGAAGATACAATTCTAAAGAATATAAATTAGTAAAATAATAACCGAAGAATTTATTAGGAATCTAGGATTTCGAAATTTGCGAGAGACAAAAAATGAATTTACGCGCTCCACCCAAAACTATTTCGGACCCCTTCACTCCAAGTCTAACCACGACCCCAACCAGATATTCTACATCTATTAACATAGCTCAGTTCAGTTGCTAATGGCACCATGTTTTGGGTTGGCTGCCCCTATATCTCTTCCAACCTACTCCTTCACAAGAAAACATCACCCATCGGGGTAGGCGGTGGTTGGAAATATATAACACATATCCCAACCACCTCACTTGATGAAGATTTACTACCTCATTATTCAATTTACCATATTTACCTAGTCCTCTATTCCCAACCCAGGCATTGCTTACTCAGCGGTCCGAGAATACACGAGCGATGCTTCGTAGACACGTGATCGAATACCAGTAGCCTACGAACATCCTCTTAATGACCATATCTGACATCAATAAAATAGAACGGAGCGAGCTGCTGTGCAGTAAACTTTTCTTTTAATTGAAAGACATACATCTTACCTACGCCATAAGTGAGGGAATTTAGCAAAAGTAAATCAAGCCTTTTGAGTCCATGTCGAGATTTTTCCAGACACTATACCATCAGGACTGGTTGTTGCGTTATACTATATTACTTCATATCATTAATTCAGGTGATAACGTAAGTCGATCATGAAGTAACTTTACATTTGTAGGGAGAGAACCGCATCCCGAACATGCTTGTATTGTTGCTTATGGTGGTTAGAAAACTGCATTTTCCCAGTGTCTTCACCAAACAGAGTTATATCGTCTGCGTACTCTAAGTGGACAAGTGAATCTCCTGGTAGAAAATCAAGACCTAATAAGTTAGACGATGAAAGTGTTATCTTTGAAAGCATATCTATGACAAAACTAAATAAAAATGGAGAAGGCGGAAAACCCTAACGAATACCTCTTGAGGCGACTGACAACAGTTCTCCATAAGCTCTGGCTCGACCAGTAGTATTCGAGTAGACAGCCTGTACTTCTTTGTCAAGCTTTTCAATGACAGACAGTGCTACAGCATATCACGATCAACAGAAAACACCGCCTTAATTTCAAGGATTACAGCTACTATCGGACGTCGAAAAATATGCTTGTAGGAGCTAGTATCCTCTGTATCTGACTCCAATAAATAGTATCCCGTTAATTGAGTATTTAATGCAGGTTAAATCTCCTAGTAGAATGATGGATTTACTCGAGATTATTCAAAGGTCTGAACACCAGTTATAGAGATAGTTTGTTGTTAAAGATTGGTAAACTCCACAAGCGTACAGGAAGCAAGCACACAGGGAAACCAAGTGTGTGAGTGTTAAAAATCCATATATATTTACAAGTGTTAATCAAGTATGAATAAATTATTGATTATCTGTGTATTGCACCCAGTCGGAGAATAGATTGGAAATTAATGTGCAAACATGTGCTCAGTCATACTCACACAGAAATTTACATAGTAGATTAAGTGTCTAAATTACAGTGAGCAGATAAATAATACAGAAGTTGAGTGAACTTACTACATGTCTGTTCCAGAATCTGGTTAAGGGTGAATATTTGGTCCATACATCCACATCCAGGTCCGAAACCAGCCTGGTTTTCTCGGGTTTGCTCTTTACGAGCTCTAGTTAGACGTCTAATTATTATTGAGGTTAATATTTTAGACGCTATATTAGTTAAGCTGATCCCTCTGTGATTGTCTCAAGAGGACGATCAGCGATCGAGACCAATCAAATGGAATTTTCTCCACTTCCCAGATTCTAGCTAAAATTTCAGTTAATCTGACTGTTAAAACTGCATCACTATTCTTAAAAATCTCAGGGGTTACTTCATTAGGATCTGCTGCTTTCTATCGCTTTAAATCACTTGTAGTCTTTTCAACTCATGATTTGGAAAACTTACATCAGCTTATTTGGAGATAGTGGGTAACTGAAGTGTGGCTGAAGGTCAATTGAACTACCTCCTCAAATGTTCTCCCTATTGATCAGATCTTCCAGATTAAGAGTAAATAATACCCTCGTCTTGTTCCAGAATAGTTTCACTAACAGCTGAGTTTTTACTACCCATTTCCTTGATAAGTCTAAACAGTTGTCTACTGTCACGTATCGCTTCTGCCTCTTCAATTTCCTGCTTTTTCTATTCACTACTGCTTGCGATTATTACGCAGGCTTTTTATCAATCTACGTTTAAGCAGTTTCCGCTCTTCTTCGTGTTTAGAACAAGAAGGGTTAAGTTTGCGAGTATTTATCATCTCAGTAGACTTCGCTGCAACCCAATGACTTTTCTAAGCCATTTGTTTCAGGTTATTGGAAGGTTTTGCTGTTGTTTCCACAGCTGTCCGGATATCATACCAAGTTACCTCGATGTGGATATCACTCATGGTTAAATAGTCCCTTCTCTAGTTGTTTCTGCAATATACTCTTAACATTTTTATGATTAGGTTGAACTCTGAGGGATTTTCTTGCTTCGGCTTTCATTTGTCCAGTCAGACGCAGACAAATACGTGCTCCAACTAGAGTATGATTTCAATCTAAACGTATGCTTCGGAATGATTGGCACTCTTCCGTTGAGTCTCCAACGAAAGCTGATGTCAATATGGTCTGTTTGAATCTACCGTTGAGTTGATTGTGAGTAGCGCTCGCTTGAAATAGACAAGTATTCGAGCATAATTGCATCAGACGGTTACCATTATCTGCTCGCTAAGCTGCGATACCTAAGTGCGTTTTTTTTGGATGGAAATTTGTGCGGTTAATGTGAAATGTGACATTTTAGGACCGATCTTTTATAACCGTTTCCTTCCGTTATGAGGAGGCAGCATCACTCCAAATGCTGGCTTTCCGAGGTAAGCATTTTACTGCTGTCACACTCCTCTACAGTCAGAAGCACAAATTTTCCCTCGAGCATTAAGTTACTGCTTTTATTCTCGCCGTTCTTCATTTCAGGTCGTTTGGTAGTATTAATATCCATAACACAAAACGTGTGACTCATGAGTGATCTCATGAACCTTTGCTTGTATTGAAACTGTTTATCAGATTCATTTAGATCCATCTTATTAAACGTTTGGTAGCCGTTTCATCTTTTGACAGCTTGTCATGCATGTAATTCCATAAACACTTTGACGCAATAATCTGAGCTACTAGTGCATTCTTTAATTTCATTTAAGAAAATTGGGGGATAAGGTATATTATTAGCAAAGATCTGCATAAATGTGTATTTCAATTCTTAGTACTGGTAAATATTTAAAATAGATGTATGTATTTAGTTGATTACTTGAGTTGGACGTCTCATTTGTACGAAAGCTCATCTAGAGGAAGTCTGAATATATGACATGGTTACTTTAATCTTTTTATTCGAATTCGTACTTTTCATGTTTTTAGCCAACATAACTATTTGGGTGCTACTAATCCGCACAAAGTGACTCAGTCATAACTACGTTATAGCCTCATACATATGCGTTAGACCGAATATCCATACCAAGTCAGCACAGTGAGACGAATAGCAAAAGAATCAAGATAATTATAGTATCAGTGATAGTGAGAATATGATGCGAAAAGAAAATATAAAAAGGTATGTACGAGGGAACACGAACTCGAAACCTAAAAAATGATGAAGAGAGTATATATTTATTTCGCTAGCCGCTTCTGAATTATGTTACTCAATATCTATCACCGACTGTACTCGTGTGAACTCCAACCAAGTAGTCTTCATCTACCATTAAAACTCAGCTCAACAGTTGGGTATTTCATGGATTGACGTCACGTTCCCGTTTTATCTCTTGAGTTTTTTTCCTAAATCTGTTATTTCAGCCAGTGCACCATATAAAAAAAGCTGTTTTATCACTGTATATATAAGTATCCACCCCATCCAGTAAAATTACAACATAACACCCATTACATACAAAAACAAATCGGTGATATTCTACAGAATGTTATCTTTATTTACCGAAATTCGTCATTTATAAGCATCGTCTAGCCGCTAAAGGAAACAGTGGATTTTGTGTCGATGATTTAGCGAAAATATAAGAAACGCATTGAGAATTGCTCATTAGGAATTTGTAACTTGAGTCTGAAAAATAATTATGTTTACAGACTAATGGAGTAACAATCGGAAACCTACTGAAACCATATCGACCAGTTTTCGTTATATAACTGGCACACCGATTTTATATTTGTGTTACATGTTAATGCGAATTACACAGGGATTGGTTATAGTGATCAGCATAATACATTTTATGTGGAATTTAATGAAGAAACATATCTGATCCTTTTTATTTTGGTCTTTAACTAAAGCAACTTTTCACTTTACGGCAAAAGTATTCAAACTTGAATTGGTTTTATCTTATGAGTCACTGAACCAAGTGACTGCTTTGCGGGATGATGGGTACATTTGTTTTAATGTAGAAATGTTTATATTAGTTCATTGTCAAAACAGTCTTCGTTTCTCTATCTCATTTTAGCGAAAATTAGACTATAAACAGACCGAATCAGTTAGTAATTCAGCTCCTTAATTGCTATGGTATCCAAGATACAGGAACCACTACATTAATCAAAAGTGGTAAGATTGGTTCATTCCATATCTCGTTCTATCTATTTATTTACTTGTACTTCCTGAACTACGTTCATTAAAAAGACAGAGGGGAAATGTTGCTCGATTTCGTGAATGTATCATACGAAAACTGATCTCATTTATAAATCATATCTAAAATCACTAAGTTGGAACATGTACATATTTATCGATTAAAATAATTGAGTTATAGTAAACTTATCGCTACTAATTGTCTATGTCAACAAATCAAGCCTTAATTTATCTATGATATATACGTTTTGAATATACTATGCTGTTAATATTATGCTATATGACTAAATGTGTTGTCTTTTCATTCGTATATTAGCTATGCATCCAGTCAATTATCAAGAACCGAAATACTGGTGCTCCATTGTTTATTATGAACTAAATAATCGTGTCGGTGAAGCATTTAACGCTTCACAATTAAGCATAATCATTGATGGTTTTACAGACCCATCAAATAATTCAGATCGTTTTTGTCTTGGTCTTTTGTCGAATGTAAACCGAAATTCTACAATCGAGAATACAAGACGTCATATTGGAAAAGGTTGTTATTTATTTGGAGTTATTTTCGGATTTATGTTGAAATCTTTATTTATCTAACATTAATGGTATGACATGTTTGTTCATCTCCAACGCAAAATGTTAGTCTTAAAATGACCAAATTGTTCACTCCCCATATTTTGAATGTTTCTTATCCACGATTACTCATTTGTCTATAATAACTAACCACTGTATTTATTTATCACCAACCTATCCACTTTCTATGGCACTTTAAAATAGCAATTAATGGTTTTTATCTTACTCTAGAGTTGCTCAGTTTTCTTCCGAATATAATACATGAATTTCGCCATAGATTTACTGTTTCTGTAAAATGAAGGCAAAAACTTAAAGGACTAGGTTTAGTTTCTACTGACACTACGTTATTTGTATTATCATCTGTTCATTTTGTGAAATACGATGTCGAAAACAAGAAAATAAGCGATTGTTCATCTAACTGACTTGGAATTTAGTCATATATATATATATATATATATATATATATATATATATATATATATGCACAAATTGCCATTGAAGTAGTGTGGTTATTTAATAATGCACCTACTTAATAGTGTTTCTTGATCATTATCAACATATTTATGGCCCCAGTTTATTTGTTTGAAAATCTCCCATACTGTTACGATTGTTGTTTTTATTTTGACTAAGATAATGTCGTAATATGGAGCCAACCATTCGTCATCCGCTGTGTGACAATCAGTAAATTTTTTATTCTCTTCCACCCACCATAACTCGAAATATTTTAGTTAGATTCTGTTATCTGTTTAGTTCATCATTAAGTATTTATCATTCAGCTGTGTTCTTTAGTAAGTCATTTAAAATTGGAAGTGATCGTTGTTCACAATAACGTATTTTGTTTCCGAATCATTAGGAAGCTTAATTAATGTTTAAGCGAAAAATGGACATCTAGATTAAAATGTACACATTATGCTGGTTTCGTAGATCTAACAAAACGTCTACACAACAAACTGTCTCATACACATATTTAACATTAAATATATGAGTAAACTTGTTTAAGAACTTTTATTTTCGAAAAAAAATCAAAAAATTAATATTGGACTCTATGAATCTGGAACATATATCACAGTATACACATTAGACTGTACCAATCATTCATACCACGTTTCTCATTTCACCATAGCCTGTTTTTTGTTCTATTTTCTTGTGTAGGTGTTCATCTTTATTATGTTGGTGGTGAAGTATACGCTGAATGTTTATCAGATAGTAGTATATTTGTACAATCACGTAATTGTAATTATCATCATAATTTTCATCCAACTACAGTGTGTAAAATCCCACCTGGTTGTTCATTAAAAATATTCTCAAATCAAGAATTTGCTCATCTACTCAGTCGTACAGTTCATCATGGTTTTGAAGCTGTTTATGAATTAACTAAAATGTGTACAATACGTATGAGTTTTGTAAAAGGGTGGGGTGCTGAATATCATCGACAAGATGTTACATCTACTCCATGTTGGGTTGAAATCCATTTGAATGGTCCATTACAATGGCTCGATCGTGTACTTACACAAATGGGTACACCAAGAAATCCGATTTCATCGGTTTCATAAATCTCATATTGTTAATTACTTTATCGCTCTTAATGGATATTGATTCTGGGACAAAAGATGAATAATGTATGATGTATACATGTCTAGGATTCTCATCGGAAAAGAATACATTATTCTTCTTTCTTATTTTATTTCTGCATTAAGATCATAAATAACCTCACTTATTTATACTATCAGTATTAACAAATCATCATTGCAATCTAAAATTCACTTCATAAGATAGAGCTTCTTATCAGCATGAAGCACACGAAAAGAACACGGAAATAGTGAGTGAAAAACAGCGCCATTCTCGTTTCTATTATTTATTTGTATTTCTGCATATATCTTCTTACTATTTACATTAGTTATTGATATTTTGTGTGTGTTCGTACAGCGCCTTCTGAAAATGCTAATCACATTGTTATGTTTATTGTTTATCATTGGGGTCTTTCTCTTTTCTTCATCTTTCCTTTTATCGTTTTTGTTTTAATTGTTGGGTAAACATTTCAAGTCTACTTTTTCAATCACTATATTGATGTAGGTAGACGACAGTGTGAACTGTTTTGGAATGATTGTAATATAAAACATAACTGTCGCATATTTGTATTATTTTCACGCTCATCTCTGGAGGTATATATATATATGCCTTAACTTTTTTATTCACATTAGACTGACTGCATACATGCATTCACGCGTATAGTTGATTCCCTTTTTTAAAAATAACTTCATATGTATATAATAACATACAAGTGAATCTTTTGTTCTCTGAATGTGTCACATAGTGCTTTGAATTTCATCAGTTTTTTCTCTGCATTTATTTATCATATCATTTTAATAATTAAGTACAAGAAGTAGTAAATTTTATCACCATCTAGTTGTGCAATTTTTATCTACAATGTTATCCTTTATTCAGAGGAACTTTTCACTTGTAATTGTTTTTAATATGAAAATTTTAATAATTGACCAACTAATTTATTTACTAATCTGTTCCCATGTCTATATCATTTTTATTTTATTGTATTGTAGGTAGCGTTCGATTTAAAAATGAATAAAAATTAATCATCATTAAATATCTACTACTATTTCATTCAAAGACTTGGTAATACTTAATAAATATGTAACGAGCGCCTTTTTGTTTTATTAATTAGTCAAATAGATGTTCTATTTTCTACACTTATCTAATAAGACCTTTTTCTTACTTTGTCCCTCTTATATTATTTTATTTTCCTAATTATGGCAGCTTCGTTATGAAAGACAGGTTGATTCATTTTTATCTGTCTGGATTTGTCTGCACATTTAATTATTAATTGTGTTCGACGTTTTGTCGGTTTTCATCTTACACTCCCTCTCCACCTGTCATGTAAAATTTTTATACAAAATAGACGACCATCTTTATAATTAATCGTTTTTTTTTACAAAATACTGTCTCAGTTGACCTCGGATATAAAAAAATTCGTATGAATTCAATGTTGAATTCTCTGTTACTCTTAGTTTGGTTGTTTAATATAAAAATAGTGCTACGTTATAATTTTCAGTGTAGAATATTAAATAGAGTAGCTAGTAATTTTCCTCTGATTTTGATTTATAAAGGTTAACTGAATTAATAATCGCCGTTCATCACTGAATCTATTTAATGAGTTGGTTTTAAATTAATACTACTACCATGAAAAGTACATAGTTAACCACTAATGCGGTCTCTGTTCAGTACCAATGTGTTATGCAAATAGTAACATTTGATAAAGTAATCAATAGCCATTAAATTTAATCATAGTTATGTTAAATTTTGCTTATCTTATCGACGGCCTGAAATAAAAGGGGTAGTTCTGGATAACACGAGTGGATTAAGAGCTAGGGGTAGACAGATGAATATACAATAGGGATCTTTATGTTCACCTAAACTATTTTAGGATTTGTAGACCAATGTGTTTTCGGGAAAATACAACACTTTGACCGATGTTTTATTTCATGATCTGAAGTTACTAATAAGTGTTGCATTTGATCCCATAACAGTTATTCGATTTTACTCCATTTCAAGTTTCTTTAAAAATCAATCCGCAATAATATCTGTTCAGGTACTTTTAACCGAGTAGCGCAGATTAAACCCTGACTAAAGTGGCTAAACCAGCCATGTTTCAGAGAAGCAGAATAAGTTAATAACCAACTGGAAAAATACTGCCGTGTTTATTACACACTGTATGGTTAATTTATACTCAGTTTGCAATCTTGAGATTGACACCATGCCTGTTACCCACATTAAATTTAAAATTAATGTGGTTCAGTACTATTAATCGTGTCAATAATGATAGACTATTGACAATGATTAGTTTGCTTTAACCAATTTCTCATTTTGACTCAACAAATTGAAGTTAAAATCCATTTCTTTTTATTTGAAAGTAATTACGATGACTCATAGCTTTTATAAATACTAAACAAAACGTACGAATTTATTATGATGTTAGTAGTATATTGGTCATAATTTTCTAATATAAATAATGATAAGAAATATAAGACATGTAGTAATTGTCCTGAAATGAAGTGAAATTTGATTTATGATTGATTTCATGTAGTTTAACAAGGTAATGAAAGAATTGGCTACATTGAAATTTATGTGTATTTTTTTACTACTACGGCGTTAGACAGGCCATCTTCACCCTACATATATTACAAATATATTCATAGGGTGAATAAAAATGTATGTATAGAGTTTGCCGTTTATGTAAGATGGAAATAAAAAAAAGTTTTACAATTGTAAAGGAACTATTTTGCAAATATTTTCATGTTTTTGATTATTTATGATATTGAATTTTTCAAGTTAAAAAAAGCACACACAACATCACAGTAGGCTAATAAAGCAAGATATATACTAGGAACAAAAGAACGCTACACAACTAAGCTATTTTGTAATATTAACATGATTGGATAGTGAAACTAAAATGGTAATACCTTATTGTCAATCAGAGTAACATCACTTGGTGTTATTTACAAGTGTAATCAACATAAACATATCCTTTTCAGTACAGCATACTAATTCTGTTTTCTTAACCATAAACAAATTGAAAACATTGATGTACTTAAGGATCGTTTCGAGGAAACAACAATTAAAGAGAATTTTTTTAATAAATCAGATTTGATTAACCTTGTAATAGATAGTCGTCGAATTCACAGAGGATGATGGTTAAGATTTCGTTTTGAGATTCGGAATCTAATTTCGCACAAGTATTCGAATTTACCCTAGGAAGAATATCAAATAGCTTGTGCTATGATCACTATAATTTCAATGGTAAATAGGTTTTAGATAGAATTTCTAGGTTTCGATTGATTTAAATGTTAACTGAAACGGTAAGCAATCAACAATATTCAGGATTTCAGCAGATCCAATTTCTATTGGCTATATCAAATCACATGAACTAGTATGTTCTAATGTCGTAAATTTGAGTATTTGTTAAAACTATCTAAAAGTCGATGACCCCTAAATTGACTTCGCCTTATAAAGATATAAACGTAAGTTTTATTAAAAGAAACTATATAATTTCAAAGAGAATGTTCATCGTATTTGTTTAGTTATTTTCCGATCTATAGTTACCTAATATTCTATATTTTCCTTCAACGAAAAATTTGTTCATCTGAGCAAAAAGTACTTACTCGATTTTAAATAATTTTCCAAGGAATATGATTTAGTTTCAACGAGCTAGACTTTTACAAGATTGAAACCAATAATCCATACATTATTGTATTTGACAATCAGAATCATTCAGTTGTGTGGTTATTCTAACAAGCTACTTATTGTCACTTAGTTGGAAATAGTGGGCAAATGTTTGCATATTATCTAGCCTTTACTTTGTAAATTTAATATATATCAAAATTCACTAACCACTCATTGTACAGTAAAATTTTGCCTAATTAAAACGTGTAATCTTCATGCATGACGCGGAACTGTATAAAATGTACAGTCCTTGAACGAATGAACTATGATGTTTTAAACAATTGTATACAATCTAATATCTTCATGAATGGATAAAATATCAAAAAAGTGCTCTAAGAAGATTTGTTTCTATTCAAAGATGACATTCACCATGGAATAGATTCAGCTGAAAAGCCAGTGAGAGCTGTGAATGTGTTTACTTGTAGTTTGATACTTCTTAGGAAGGTTCATCCACAACTTCACATGGAATAAAGTCTAGGAGCCTCAGATCTCATATCCAGCAGTGAAAATGTAAAGTAGCTGAAAAACCTTTGAAAATCAGGGAGCACAAGACAGCAATTAGGCTCACATTTTTTTACCTGTAAGTAAATTTGAAAGATACTTCATGACCCTTAAACTTGACATTTAAATATATAAAAAGAAACTCAGGTTTTTAATTATTTCTTCACTAAGCTTAGTAATAATCTCTGATTAGTAAAATATGTAATATCATTAGAACGTGTTGCATACTTTGATAGTAAGAGTAAACAAAATGACGACATCTGAAAAGTAACTAACTGTCTCCTTACCTGATGATGTAACTAAAAATTGTCATCATGAAATTAGTAGGTTTTGATTTTTACTTTCCGGTTACAAAATAAAAGTTGTCTACATTTCTTCTATTCTCAATTGTTGTTCTATTTGCTTGTAAAATTCTTGAAAACCATGTCTCTTGATTCTTGACACTAGTGAATAAGGGTTATCAGTAACCATAAATGATATCATGCTCCTAAATTACCTTTAACACCACAGATCGTTGACAAGTTATAACTTAAACGAAACCTTTTATTCTTTTAACTTTGATTACTGTGAATTATCAAGTAAACGAATTACAATGTCTGGTTACTTAATCCTGAAATATAGAATTCCAACAATACTAAGAAACACGATAATGTTGGTTACTAATAAATGATCGATTCGTGTTGAATGAATTTTTGTCTGTAAGACATACTATAATTTAACTATTCAACTTATAAATTTTCGTTTGTGTAACTCCATACTTCTAGTCATTATTCATTTCTTATGATCAAATAAATAGCTTAGTCATATTTTAAAGATACGGAAACCCAAATGTTCCTTGGGAACGAGTATTCACTTAAATCTTTGTTAGTGCCTGAATGTTAAATAAGTCGACAATCAAACAATTCACTGAGGGATAAGTTCTTCTGTTTTATTAACCATGACATACATACATGTTCATTTAATTATTTATATTGACATGTTGATATGACAGTTTTTGATTCATACGAATCCTGGGTGGTTGTGTAGGAAGTCAAATTATAACTTTCCAGTATGAAATATTATTCATTATACTTTTAAGCATTTTTTTTTATCTCAGTAATTATTTCATATGTTCAATCAAATGATCATTTTTGATTAACAGTTTTGAAAGAATTTTTTTCAACTAAGATCAATCTTAGTTTTGAAATAGTCAACAGAGTAGACGACAATTAAACAACTTTCACTTAAAATAGGTGTGATTTCGTGTTGTTTGTTGGTCGATTATATTTCTGTTTACCTACGTGTATGAATTACCAACTTTTTATGATCATTATAACTATAAAAGCATAATTCATCATGGACTTCTATTGGTTATGAATCGACATTTGTAGTATAAAAGGTGTCGAATAGTTATTATATGCAAAAATAAGAGAGTACTGAATAACTATTCTGTCTTAGTTAGGTATCCTATATTGGGACCAATACTATATACCTTTTGGATCTCATAGTCGGCACAAAATCTTTTGACTATTATGACTTTAAGCTCTAGTTAATTCGCTCTAAATAGCTTATCTATCATTCATTGTCATCAATGAGTTACTGTTTTGCTCCAGATTTGATTGAGTTTAACAGGTCACAGCTTCTTATTAAATTTTCAAGGTATCTAATAGTCAATCGTTACATAACAATAATTATGATTCGATAAATGGTTTTTAGATAATTCTTCAGCTTTCCGAAATATTATTTGTTCATTGAAAGGAAATCCTAAGGACATCACTCATTCTAATTTGTTCTTGAACATGTAATTCAACGTCTGAAATCACTTACTTACTTACTTACGCCTGTTACTCCTCGTGAAGGAGCATAGGCCGCTCACCAGCATTCTCCATCCAACCCTGTCGTGGGCAATCCTTTCAAGCTCTTTCCAGTTCTTATTCATCTTTTTTATATCTGCTTCTATTTCCCGATGCAATGTGTTCTTTGGCCTTCCTCTTTTCCGCTTCCCTTCAGGATTCCAAGTTAGCGCTTGTCCCGTAATGCAGTTTGATGATTTCCTCAATGTATGTCCTATCCATTTCCATCGTCTTTTCCTAATTTCCTCTTCAGCTGGAAGCTGGTTGGTTCTCTCCCACAAAAGGCTGTTGCTGATGATATCCGGCCAATGGATGTTGAGTATCATGCGTAGACAGCTATTGATAAATACCTGTACCTTCTTGATGGTGGTTGTTGTAGTTCTCCAAGTTTCAGCTCCGTACAGTAGAACTGCCTTGACGTTCGTATTGAAGATTCTGACTTTGATATTGGTTGAAAGTTGTTTTGAGTTCCATATGTTCTTTAATTGAAGAAATGCTGTCCTTGCTTTGCTAATCCTCGCCTTTACGTCCGCATCTGAACCTCCTTGTTTGTCGACGATGATTCCCAGGTATGTGAAGGATTCCACATCTTCCAGAGTTTCGCCATCAAGAGTGATTGGATTGCTGTTCTCCGTGTTGTGTTTGAGGACCTTGGTTTTCCCTTTGTGTATGTTGAGGCCTACTGATGCAGAGACTGCTGCTATGCTGGCTGTCTTTATCTGCATTTGTTCGTGTGTATGTGATAGGAGGGCTAGGTCATCTGCGAAGTCCAAGTCGTCTAATTGGTTCTGAGCTGTCCATCGTATGCCGTAGTTTCTCTCAGATGTCGAGGTCTTCATAATCCAGTCGACCACCAGAAGAAACAGGAAGGGAGAGAGTAGACAGCCTTGTCTTACTCCGGTCCTTACTTGGAATGCGTCTGTCAGCTGTCCTCCATGCACTACTTTGCACTGTAGTCCATCGTATGAGTTCCGGATAATGTTGACAATCTTCTCAGGAACTCCGTAGTGTCGAAGAAGTTTCCATAACGTCCTCCTATCTACACTGTCAAATGCCTTCTCATAATCAAGGAAGTTGATGTAGAGTGACGAGTTCCACTCAATTGATTGTTCGACGATGATCCGTAGTGTCGCAATCTGGTCTGTGCACGACCGGTCCTTACGGAATCCAGCTTGTTGATCTCGAAGTTGAGCGTCAACTGCGTCTTTCATCCTGTTCAGTAACACTCTGTTGAAGACTTTACCCGGTATTGACAGTAGTGTAATGCCTCTGTAGTTTTCACACTTGCTCAGATCTCCTTTCTTTGGAATCTTGATGAGGTGTCCTTCTTTCCAATCCATCGGCACTTGTTCCTCCTCCCAAATCTTCTTGAATAGAAGATGAAGCATGCTTGTAGTTACTTCGATGTCTGACTTCAACGCTTCAGCTGGTATATTGTCAGGTCCTGCTGTTTTCCCGCTCTTGATTTGTCTGACGGCCATTCTGATTTCTTCTGTCGTTGGTGGATTGACATTTATAGGAAGATCTGTGTGTGCTGCTTCGATGTCCGGTGGATTCATTGGAGCCGGCCTGTTCAGGAGTTCCTCGAAGTACTCTGCCCATCTGTTGCGCTGTTGTTGAATCTCAGTGATTGGTCTTCCTTCTTTGTCTTTGACTGGTCTCTCTGGTTTACTGTATTTCCCTGCAAGCTTCTTCGTCGTATCGTAAAGCTGTCTCATATTTCCTTCTCTTGCAGCTTTTTCCGCCGTCGTTGCTAGTTCTTCCACGTATTTTTGCTTATCAGCTCTACGCTCTTCTTCACTTTCTTGTTTGCTTCTATGTACTCTGCTTGTGCTTGGACTTTCTCTGCTCTTGTTCGACTGTTTTTAATTGCTGTCTTCTTGTTCTTTCTTTCTTTGATCCTGTCCAGTGTTTCTGTAGAGATCCATTCCTTGTGATGATGCTTCTTGGGGCCCAGAACCTCTTGACACGTTGAAGTTAATGTTTCTTTGATACCTTTCCAGCTATCCTCCATAGTAGTTTCTTCTTCCTTCAGTAGATCCTGTAAGGCTTGGAACCTGTTGTTGAGAGCTACCTTGAATTCATTGAGTTTGTCAGTATCTCGAAGGAAGGCTGTATTGAACCTTTGTGGTGCTGTTTGTCCAGTTGTCCAGTTCTTCTTTAGCTTCAGTTTCAATTTGGCCACAACCAGGTGATGATCTGAAGCTATGTCCGCTCCTCTCCTCGTTCTCACATCTTCCATTGTCCTTCGGAACTTTTTATTGATGCAAATGTGATCTATCTGGTTCTCTGTGGTGTGGTCCGGTGAGATCCACGTAGCTTTGTGTATACGTTTGTGTGGAAATGTTGTACCGCCTATGACCAATTTATTGAATGCACACAAATTTGCAAATCTTTCCCCGTTTTCGTTTCTCTCTCTCAGTCCATGTAGTCCCATGATGTCTTCATATCCGGTGTTGTCCATTCCGACTTTGGCGTTTAGATCTCCCATCAGAATGGTGAGGTTCTTTCTTGGGCACTTTTCTATGATTGATTGCAGCCTCTCATAGAATTGATCTTTAACGTCGTCGTTGCTATCATTGGTGGGTGCATAACATTGGATAGTGTTCATTGTGATCCCCTACTCCTTTGTTTTGAATGATGCTTTGATGATTCTGGATCCGTGTGATTCCCATCCTACAAGTGCATTTCGTGCTACTTTGGATAGCATTAGAGCAACTCCCTGAGTGTGTGGAGCATTTTCCTCTTCGTGACCGGAGTATAGCAGCATCTCTCCCGTATTTAGCCTTTGTTGTCCAGCTTGGGTCCAATGGGTTTCACTGATTCCCAGTACTGCCAAGTTGTATCTCCTCATTTCCGTTGCTATTTGACTGGTCTTCCCGTTCTCCCACATTGTCCGGACGTTCCATGTACCTATAAAAATTGTTGCTCTGGTTGTTAGAAGGGGCATCGGCCTCGTGGCTTCCGAAGGAACTCGGCTTTCACCATGAAGCGTCATATTACCTCTAACTCCCAGGGCAGAGTTTAAATGGTTTGAGTTATTTTTTCTGGTTAGCGTTTTTTTAGCGAGTTAGGTTTCTACGGGATGGGGACGCTAACCCCATGCCCAACCCTCCTCCTTTACCCGGGCTTGGGACCGGCAGTAACTCTGGAAGAGCTACAGGCGGAGTTTTGAAATCACTTATTCCATATGTAATCATCCTACAATATTATACAGAAATTAGATGTTCAGAGGGATCATATTATTGAATTTGGTTCAGAAAGTAATGAACTTGTGGAGATAGGTCTGTCAAACTTATTTTGTAAATAGTTTTTAATATTATTTGTATTTATTTTGTCAATCATTCACTGCATGTACATTTATTATTAAATCATCGTACCTGTTGTTTTAGTAAATGACCTTGACCACTTTTTCCGTTGTGATACTAACATAGCGGGATACGTTTGTGGTTGTTCCCAAATACACTACTACGCACATACCTCTCGTTCTACATTCATTCGTATTTGCGTTAACCGAAGTCTAAATCAAACCCCATCTACCTTTACAGAATGTAATTGGAATATACCATATACTACGCTGGATCATATCATTGGGGAATCCATCAAACTTATTGGAATTGTCAACCATCTATAATTGTGGATATTCGGTACCAGATCAACTTAGAACACGTACTCTCCTGGTGAACTAAGTAACGTTCCTTATTTCTATTGTGTTTATAACTTTTAACTTTATATATATATATATATATATATATATATATATATATATATATATATTATTTGTTAATATTAACTCTGTTATTATCTTTTGGGTTAATATATTGTCTGGTCCACCACAATTATCTGGTGAGCCCTAGATTGTATTATAGTTTTATCGTTTATATTTTTACTTGAAACACTAGTTTTTTTCACATCATGTACTGTCCAAATAAACTTATCGACATGGAGTGTCCCCTAGTGAATCCCCTCGACTCATCACATGCAGACGATAATGCTATTTCCGAGTTCAGACTACCGACATACGGTGCCAACAACCCCAGAATCTGGTTCGCTCAGGTAGAAGCCTTATTTTTAGCGAGAGGCATACGCTCCTAGGCGACTAAATATGCCTATGTTGTCGGCGCTCTACCCATAGAAATCGCTACGGAAGTCGGTGATCTGATTGACCATGTACCAGAGACAGATCCTTATGACAAAATAAATACAAATAATATTAAAAACTATTTACAAAATAGGTTTGACAGACCTATCTCCACAAACTCATCACTATAAAGTTTTTTTCAAAAGAAGTGTCACCATCATAGCTTCAACGAAAAATTGTCCAATCGGAAGTTTCTGTAAATAAATCAAAAGTAAGATATGATATCATGACGAGATAAGACAATATCTATTTAGGGAATCAGTTTTACAAATAATAGGTATTTTTTGAAATACGTTGTTAAACAACATGTGTCAGTGTTTCTCAACTTACAATAATTATGTGTTACTAACTGGAAATTGCTGAAACAATAAAAGGAATTAAAAATTCATCAGATAATTTTTACACTCATGTTATGAAAATGGAATGAAGATCAATAAACGACTTACAATAAATCTATCGTATGGATAAATGAAAAAGAAGGAACATGTTAAAAAACGAACATGCAACAAAAACCCCTTCATCCAATAATGATAATAATAATTCATTGGCCAATTGAATAGATAAATAAAAGTCCTCAATTTTTCTAACAGACTTTGACTTTCAGAATTATACTTATCTATTGCGCTTTATTAATTAAGACTCGATCAAATACGCATACAATTTAGGAAAGATTTATGAGTGTTGTTACATTCTGATGACTTTAAACTCATAGCATCGATATAAAAATATCAAAAAAAATTGTGATAGAATAGAAAACCAATAATCTTAAACAAAGTCAAATAATAAACCTTTTTATTCTCATTTATTTATAGTACCACAAAATACATTAGTTTTTAGGCGTATTCTAATAAAATTGAATTTTTCTAGATATTTACGCTATTTTAACCGATTTATGTCGTGCACACGTATATTAAAGAACTTCATTTCCTCTAATTTCTTTTTTTTTGCAAACAAATGAACAAAATGATACACCGTTGCTTATTTTTACTAAATATTTCTTCCTTGTTACTATTTTGTCTTAAACGTATGAAACAATCGATGATATATGTGGATATATTCAATGAGTCAATGGTTGTCCAGTTGTTTAAAATGACTAAACATATGCAAAACGACCAAACTATCCATGTAGCAGATTTCAACAATTTCTTTTTAAATATTAACGGACAAAGAAGTTGAAAAAAGAAATGAAAAGAATTCAATATATTGTTATGCATAGAATAAAGGATGTTACGGTGTAAATGATTTTTTTCTATTTTGATAAATTATGATTATAGCTATACTAAAAATATAAAATAAATGGGTATATATATATATATATATATATATATATATATATAACAGGAAAGAAGGTTTAATTCCTTTGATTTTTTTTCTTAGAGTGTCCATTACTATGTCAATTTCCATTTGTTGAATATTATTTTTGTTTATTTTACCATTAAATAAATATTTTTGAATATTGATTTAACGATGCGATTTAGGTTTGGTGGACAGAAAATCTCTGGTATAACAAAATTTATATCAATGAAATAATGAAACATTTATGTTTAACTTTGTTAATAATACAATCTACCAAGAAGAATCATATAATTATTATCCAAGGATTTTTTTTACTGATTAGTACCTTCAAAAATATCTTTTGTTATTTAGGTAAGAAGTATCAAGAATTATTCATTTATTAATGATATTTTCTATTCAGTTAAATTTATCTGAGCTTCTGAATCGATCCTCGTTAAGCAAACCAGACAGCTGATTTCCATGAGTCACATCTTTTTACAAAATATTTCCCTTATTATAGGTATCATTGCTAAGGTTTGACTTGATAACTTCGAATAAATTGAGCATTGGGTAGATTGTTATAAATAAATTAATATATTTCCATCAATATTTATTTTGTTGTGAATTATGTTTTCGTGCCTAAATTTTGATTTTCTTTCCTCTTAAGCTGATTCTCGCTTAAAATCGACATCAACTGACTGACTGACTTACTTACGCCTGTCACTCCTCGTGGAGTGACATACGACGCCCACCAACACTCTTCATCCAACCCTATCCTGGACAATCGTCTCCAGCTCTTTCCACTTGTTATTCATCATTTTCATATCTCCTTCTATTTCCCGACGTAATGTGTTTTTTGACCTTCCTCTTTTCCGCTTCCCTTCAGGGCTCCAAGTTAGGGCTTACCTTGTGATGTAGTTTGATTATTTGCGTAATGTATGTCCTATCCATTTTCATCGTTCTTTCCTAATTTTCTCTTCAACTGGAAGCTGGTTTGTTCTCGTCCACAGTAGTCTGTTGCTCATGGAATCCGACCAACAGATATTGAGAATCTTGCGTAGACACTTGTTTACGAATACTTGTACCTTTTTGATGATGGTTGTATTAGTACATCAACTGGCCTCAACATGAAATGAAGAATTTCTCACTTTCATTTCATACTCTCAAATAGTTATCAATTTACTCGACTGTCTCATCTACTGGAAAGTATACGATATCAATTTCAAGTCACATTGTACAACAATTTTTAAATAAACCAGTGATTATTGACTATAACTAAGAGTATCGAAATTTTCAAGCTACTTTATAAACTTTGTCTGTTTTTTTCGCATGAGTAACAAATCAGAGGCAGTCGGTAGGATGATTATGTAGGTGTTTAATAGAATTCAGTGAAAATCAAATCAATTTGCACGATTCAGTCTATTTTTTTATTTCCGTTTTCGTGGTTGTATTTCTAAGCAGTAGGAATATTCATTTTTGATTAATAAATATTTACTAAATTCAATAATACACAAATAATTGACCAACGACTAAGCTTAACAATACTTCCTTCATGAACATATAGATAATACATTTTTGTATTGACTTAATAAT